TGAATTATTGTAGCAGCACACTTACTGGCAAATAAGGAGTAGTGGTTATAATGAATTAGTAAAAGACTTTTTTTTTTTTTTTCCACAAATAGGAAATCCTGCTGTAATCAAAACAGCTGTGGTTCTTTAGTTCAGCACTGGTAAACCCAGCATGTGGAGGTGTGCTGCCTGCTGCCCAGTGAAGCTGTGCCCCTTGAGATAACCAAGAGCTGTGCCAGTGTGTTAGCGATGGCCAGCGCTGTGAGTGTGGCAGGAGAGTGATCACCTGCAAGAGATACTCAATAAGGGCCTTGTCTTCAGAGGGTGCTCACAGCCAGAAAATGCAACAAGGAACCACAAGAAGCCCCAGCCTAATGGAAATAAAGAATTTATCTGGTGGTAAGGCTGGATGTATATCCACAAGAATGAATGTCAGTGTTACCCTGCAGGCAACCTTCCCAAAAGTAAAAGAACAGCTCAATTGAGATTAATGGTCTTTTTTGCTGAGGCCCAAGGGAAGTCCTAATAAGGCAATGTGTTAAACAGTGAATGTAATTTATAATACATGCAAACTTTGGAAGGTATACATAGCATGTGACACTGAATGAGAAATCTCTTATGCCTTTCTCACGCTGCTTTTTAGAGACACTTTCTCCTGTTGGATTTAAAGTAGCATTCAAGTTTCTATTTTTTGGAAGGACAACATGCCATAATGGAAACTCTTAATGATGTCACACTGAGTAGGCACTGCTTCAAACCAGCTTGCACTGTGGCCACAGATTATAGACTTCTACAATCTAGCTAAAGTAATTGTACTTACATGTGTTGGTTTTGCTTGCAGTGACATTTTTTCTAGGTTTTCTTGAATGTTAAACTTAGGTTTTCTCCATTTCCTATCATCTGCACTGATCTTACATATTTGTGCTCACACAGTCATGACACAACACCTTTCCACAAAAAACAAGGCCATAAATTTTTATACAGTAATTCCTGCATCAAACCAACCATTTGTAGATGAACCAGACTGGTATCCTGTTAAAAGGTATGTAATTTGAGAATTTGAATTTGATATGCTAGAGATTTGATCATTTATATAAATATCCAACACACACATACTTTTAAGGGTAGGGGAAAATAATTTACTGTTTCCTTCACTACATACTTGTTCAATATTATACTTCAACTGTCCTGAAAAATCCTACACAAAACAGTCACCATCATGCAAAACTTTTTGTTTTCTGATACACACTGAGTATGTAAGGCATGCACCCATTCTTCTCATTTATACCAATACATATAAATACATTCACAAATACACATCTCAAGTACACTTATCCAATCTGAAATAATTACATTCAGATGCTGAACAGAATACTTATACATAGCAGAAATAATTCAAGGTCTTCAGCTTTTTCTTTTATCATCATTACTAAACAGTGTTCCATTTCCCCCCAGTAGATAGAACTATTAAAACAGAGAAGCAGAACTTTTCTCTGTCTTTACCAGGTCTACCTAAAGTCCTCTTCTTGCATCTTACCTTTTCTTCTAACCAAAATTTTAATCTCGCTTTGTCCAAAAGTCTGATTCTTTCAAATAGTCAAAGGAAACAGAAATCCTTCTATGTTTTGCAGCCATCCTTCCTTTCATCTTTTGCTTTCAGATAGTGCTTGCATCTTCTCATCTCTTCCTCATTTAATTGCTGTTCTTGAGTGAGCAGTACTCCCAATTCATGTATCCTCACCCTCAACATAACTGTCACAGCTTGCAAATCATAAACCATTACAGGAGAAATCCAGGCAGGTGTAATTCTGTTGACCACAGAGAGCTGTGTTAACTACCCACAGCCTTGTTGTGGTCCTAACATTTTACTGAATAGTCTGTGCATAAGCTGAACATTCCTTAATACTCACACCATACAATCATCTTCCATAATTTTTAGTGCTCTACATGATGGTATTTGTATGCTACACTAATTGACTCAATAAGTTTCTTTGTAAGTATTTTTCTCATGACTAATTTGTTTCATAAAATATTTAACTTAAAAATGAAACTGTTCTTAAGAAAACTCATCCTAATTGAAGGATGTTCATCCTACCCTAAAGCAATCAAAATAAAATTTCCTACATACTGTTAAAATCAATGACAGTCCTACAGATAATGCATAGAGCAGCAATTAATCAGAATTGATCTATACCATGAGAAAAAAATTATACTTCAATGAATTTAAAATGTACTCTTATTTTTCAATCTATTTGGTGTAAAAAAACTAAAATTATTTCATCTCCTGCAAGAGAATAGTGGGTTACCCCAAAGCATGGTTTAGAATCCAAGATTTTAAAGCACATTTTTCATATTACATACAGTACTAATGTCTCAACAATCCTGTCCAAACTGACCAAGGTTCTGTGCTTGTGGTTCTTCCTCAGTCATTGTTGGTACAAGCTCATATTAAATCCGCAATTAAATTAAATAGCTGCCTTAACATTTGCCTTACTATTTTTAAGGCGAGGGATAATGTTGCGTGGCTTTTGTCTCATATTCTTAAGGAAACAAAAGATCTCACAAAAATTATATGAGACAAATTAGTAATTTTTAAGATAAACTTTTATTGAAAAATTAAAACTGCATTGCATAACTTCTTTATAACTTCAACATTTCTTAAACCACAAAACAGAGATTCTGTTTAAAAAATCCCTTCCTATTTGTCACCATTCAAAAAACAGATTATGAGCTAACTTCATGATGATTTTAAAATTCTGGATTATTCCCAAGGCCCCTGCTTCTGGCTGTCTGCCATGAATGGTATAATCTATCTTCTCTAAAAATTACCTTTAATAACACAATCAGAATTTTTCTCATTCAAAATCACCAGCTGCTCTTGATTTTTATCCAGTGGTCAGTCTTTTCCAAATAAATGATATCATTTCATAAGCACTGCAGCTACCTGTTCAGATAAGATCTTGCCTATTGTTTAATTGATCTGAATTCACATATGCAAAGTTACAGTGATTGTCCCTGTGATTTTAAAGGCAAAATTGCTAGCTCAGAGTGTAATTTAAACCTCAGAAAAACAAAGTTGCTCCCATGGAGTTAAAATGCTTTACATTAGCCAATACTCCTGTATATCCTTACATCCTAATCTCTCACAGTCAATAGTATATGGATTTAAAAGAAGGAAAGTTCCAGGTCAGTGTTAGTCTGAGAAGCTGTGGCATATTACTCAGATGGAAATGACCTAAAAAGAAAAAAGATGAGTTTTCTCACTAATGACTACAACTGCTCTGTTAAAAGCAGTTAACCAAGTCAGAAATTAATACGAGCACGGTGCCTGTTGAACACCTTTTTGCTATATCTCATAGGAAAACACCCCAGAAGCTGATATTAGAATCAAAAGCTTTGCAAAAATCCAATTGTGGTCATCTGTGTCAAGACACAACACTGCAGAAAAGCAAGATAAATGCAGAGGGTAGGAAGATAAATCCAAACCCTCTGTCTTTAGAGACAGCACCTATGCATTGAGGGTCTCACTTCCCAAACAAGCAGGAGGAGCTCCATTATTCCCGCTCAGCTGCAAACCATCAATGGCAACAGGATGCTTTTAACCTTCAAAACACAAGGTACTTCATAAAAGGAAGAAGCAGAAATGTTAGTGAGCAAAACGTTATACATGCACTGAGGAGGTCTAGATCTGTTTCTGACTGCATTTCAGAACTGTCAGGGGTGTGCTGTAGGAATGCCATCAGCTGTATTCTGGTCCTTCCTACAGCTTCATGATCAGGATGAAGATGGTTCTCTTCACCTTATTTATTTGCTTCAAGGAGAATTAACAGCTCAGATATATTAAACTACTATTAGAATGTTGAGATGGTGATCTGGTTACAGAGTTCTTGAGGTTAAAATATTAAGGTTAGAGGACTGAGGGGAAAATGGAGCTTTAGCAATACCATTATTGACAAGGGAGATGGAGAAAATCAGAAATTCCCACCTAAGAACTGGGGTAATCATAAGAACCATGGCATTTGTGTGGAAGACCTAAAATCCTCTAGTGAAGCTAAGTCATCAGTTATATGTCTTTGGATTAATTATATTAGCTCATATTGTTTCTCATAAACAATACAAAACAAGAAGGACTGAAAGAATTTTTTCAATTTTCTGTAGCTGCCCTTTGAATAAAGTAAAACTGAGACCAGATTTCAAACAGAAGTCTGAAATAAAAATGTGACGTGCTTCTTCAAAAAAAGCTTCTTCCTGTACTCTAAGAACAACTCTCAATGAGAGGTCCTCTAGTTTTGATGAATAGCTGGTATCTATAAAGTTTGGCATTCAATATTATGGAATTTAGCACTAAAGTCAATGTTTATGCCAACTACACCTGTACTGCAGGCCTCAGGTCATACAGCATGGATGTTTCCATCAGGAAATGTCAAATATTGACTACAAAGTAATACAATGGGCTTATAATTGAGCAAGATTGAGGTTTGAGATCAAGAAGGAAAGAAACCAACAAACACTGTCTTGAAAAAATCTAATGAAAGGAATACTGCATTGGTACGATTACTAGGGGGTTTCATGATATGGAGTAACAATGCAGATCAATTTAGAAAGTCATACTCATAAATCTAAAGGTCAGTGACAATAATTTTTAGCTTCAACTCGATTTGAAGAAAAGATTTTACAGAAGATTTTGAAAGAGGAATAAGCAAGAGTTCTATGAAAACCTGGAAAGGCTGTGCTGTAGGAGACAGCATTTACTGTAGCAGCTTCTCCCTTCTCCCTGTGCTAACACAAACCTGAGACAGCATCCTCAAAGCACAGCCGGTGGCACCTGCGGGACAGAAATCTCTCTTACCTGTAGCTGTCTTTCCACAGGACTGACAGGGGCCAGAGAGACTGCAAAAACTGCATGGCATGACTGTATTTCTCTGAAAGTTTCTAAAATAATTCAATTTTATTACTGAGGTGGAGGGAAGGGAAAAAAAGCAATTAATTACTGCTTTGCAAAGAATGACGTATGAAAACACTTGAAATTAGCATATTCCATTTATCACCATGACACTAACTCAGTGAACAGAGGATTATTGAATCTCCATTTTGTTCCACTGTTGTGTTTCTAGTATGGACTTTTCCACTCAGTAATATTGATTAGCTAATGATTAAAATTGATCAAGCTGCAGATGAATCTGGTGTCTATACTTTGAAAACACTAACCAGTTGAAATTATTGGGACAAGCTGGTTGTATTAAAAGATACTGAGATTACTTTTGGTTTTATTTATTTTATAAGCTCCAAATTCTATTTTAGTGAAATTCCATTTCACTAAAAGAATGATGTGGTTAAAACTCCCACAGAATTTAGTTAAAATGGTCACAGAGGTCAGTTCTGAAATAAAACTCAAAAACAGGGGCCTTGGGTAGCAATCAATATTCACTAGAAAAGCATTCAGAACACTGAACAGTCTGACTTTACAATAAATAAAACTGAAATTTCTAATAATTCTAATAGATTAAAGGGATCCCATAATTTGATAGTCTATACACAATGTCAGAATTCCTTATCTTCAGTAAAATTATCTGTAAGTTATACTTTAAGGGCACTAGGATTTAAACAAAAGTGTCAACTAATATTTTCTTATTTTTTCTTTGGCTCACAAAGACACTAAAATACCATAAACATTATTTAGAACTTCAATAATATATAAATAGGTTACATTACAAACAGAAGAAAATACAAGACAACTCTTCAGCATGGTAAATCTCTGCATATAAATAAGCAAATGTTTCAGATACCTACAATTAAACAGTTATCTTGCTGTAAAACTATTACATTTAAATCCTTTTACACAAAGTAATTTAACAATAATATACACAATCTACACAAATTAACCTCTAAAAATACAGCAATAATATACCTGTTACAATGACTCTGCTACTGTCATCCCCTGATTTGACACTAAAGGGCAAGTACAACTATTTTACTCAAAGGTGCTCTTAGAGATTGCTGTTTTGTATGTGAGAAAAGCACCAACAATAAGATCTAATACTGTTATACATTTTCTTTAGCTCCTAAGAATCTACATTTTAGAAATGTTTCTATATCTGTTTCTATATGTCTGTTTCTGTCTGGCAGAAAAACTTGTAGCACATTATCCACACCAAAGTTGTTGAAGGAAAACTTAATTTTCTTAAAGTGGAAAACATGCTGTGGCTTTGATCTAAGTTTATAACCACTTTATATATATATATATGTATGTATATATATAATTATATATATTTATTTATACTGTACATATATACTGTGCAGAGTTCTTAATTTGCTATTTTAATATCTATTAATTTTCTGCAGTCTACAATAAACAAGACCAATGTAAGAGTCAATAGTACTTCAACTTCAAGATAATACATTTTCCCTCAATAATATGATCTAACAATACATATATATTTCAGTAGCCTATAGCTGTTTTGTTTAAGGATGTCTTAGGAGATTGCAACTTACAGAATTTCCTTTAAACATGTTCTGCAGAACTGGGTTTAAAAAATAGCCAGTGCTGGAAAACAGTGAATTCCAGAAATAAATCATTCAACCACTACAGCTCCTGCCCCAGCCTCTCAATTTCCTCAATGAGGAAGTCAATGTCAGACTTAGTTGCTGCTGGGTTTGAGATGACCATTCGGAAGAAGTTGACTTTATCTCCCTGAGGCTGATATCCAACCATGGTGGTGCCTGACTCCATCATCAATGCCTTGATTTTTGGTGCCACCTTTATCATAAAAAAAAAAAAATCACAAAAAGAGAGAGAGACACACACACACACAAAGAGAGAAGAAAAAAATGATTCTTTCCTTGTACATCACAGCATTTCTTAATTCAGAAAAAAGAAATCGACAGGCATTTGTTTTAATAAAAGATGTCTGTAACAAGAAAAAGCTTGAAAAACTAAATAAGATTTAAAAACTAAGTAAGGTTGGCTAATTAAAGAAAAATTGACAACAATAATATCCATCTTTTTGATTTACAGATTAATAGTATCCCAGAGTATTTGCTGTATAATTATTTTATATATTAAATGTATATCTCATTTCTTTGTGCTGAAGATTTTGTCATGATGAAACATTTTCTGCTTCTGTATGAATGTCCACTCCAGACCTTCTTGAGGGTAGTGGATATTTTCCATGAGAATACTATGTATTCTCAAAGCATTTTATATGGGGGGAAAACAATGGAAATTTTTCAACAAGATCTAAGTAATAAGTAATATTTTTTGTTAGGATAAGCCATGGAAACCTTCCAGTAGTTTTGCAGTACTGTGCATTTACCACAATCTCACTTCCTTGGTTTAATTTACAAGGAATAATGTTCTGACAGTCTTAATATTTGGTATTGACTAAGCCCAGTTTTTCCATCCAGACTTTCATTCTCCTGCTCTACTCTCTGCCAGGCAAGGTCAGATGTCTGGCTCTTTCACTGTTTTGTAGAATGCTTTATGGTGTCCTCTAACATTTAACAGGGTTAAATCAAATATTTCATCCCTCTTGCTGTTTCTTACTTCTTACCGCTATCTTCCTCTATTCTCTCTTTGTTTTGGCAATTTCTTTATCTAACATGGGACTGGCTTGACTCAGGAATTTTACCCAGGAATTTCTAGTCCCTTCTATTCTCTTCCCCCATTGTGATGCAGCCATTAAATCCTCTACAAAATCTTCCAAGTTTGCTCATTTTTCTCCCTTCCTTAACAAACACTCACACATACAGACACAAAGAGCAATTATTTTTGACACTGTGATGTCATTCTTTTGTCTCCTGAATGTATTTCATTCCTCTTCTGTCTAAAACACTACTACAAAATTACTGTATTTTGCTTCCCTCAAGTCCTGAATAACATTCTATCTTTTCTGGTGGTGCTTCTATGATGCCTTCCCTTTCCTCTACTACTTCAAATAAATGTATCCCAAAGTCCTCCAAAGGGTGTTCATTTTCGCTGATATGGATTAATGCATTGGCATTTAAAATCAGAATAAATACCTGAGAAGCAACTCACAGGTTTTCATGTCCTTTACCTGTCCAAGCATTTTCCAACAATTACCCTCTGTTTCTCTTGTAGATAAGCTGTCCTATCCTAGCTACTTTTTGAAGGCTTGTAACACTTTGAGCACAGGATAACTGAATATGTTCTGAATCTGGTTCTATAGGGAAAACATTACTTGAACATCAATATAAATGAAAGACACAAGTGAACAAATATCAAGGCCATTACAAGCAATGGAGAACTGACATCTCAGAATTTGGAATTATCCTTTTACATTTAACCAAAAATACTTACCCTGTGTAACTTTTCTCTTCTCTCATCAGAGTCTGGCATGCCCCTGAGACTTGGAGGAATATACCAAAAACATACATTTGTATGCTCTGGCTGCAAAAAGAACCAAACATATGCATCAATTAAAAAAATCATACAGATCATTCCCACACTAAAGGCTAGTCAGTAACATATTTTATCACAGACATGAAAGACAAAATATAGTATTAACTTTCCTAGTCCTGCATGTTAAAGAGACAGAAATGGATTACAGTACTGCTGCTTGCCTCTGCTGCCTTAGATTCCCTATACATTGTCCCATTTGCAATATTTAGGTTGCTAATGAAGTGCAAGTGCTTTTCACCCTTGTGCAGTTCTATGAGTAACTGTTTTTCAGGATCACAGCAAGGGCAATCCAATTTTCCTTTCCTTAGCAAAGGGAGAAGTGAAGTTTATACTATGATTCAAAGGTTTCTGTACTGGCACTGGCAAAAGAATATACAGTAAAAACAGCAGATTCTCACTTATGTACTAATAATCTCAGTATGAGTAGGTTGTATTAAAGTGTTCTTCATGCCCTAAACTGAGAAGGCCTCTATGGAAGAAGAGGAGATAAACCTGACATTTATGGTACAAAACCACACATATTTGACAAAAAAATCTGTTCAGATGCCAATAGTCATCTAGTTCTTTAGAAAATCAGAGCAGTTTTGCATAGCTGTCTTGAAGAACTGTGAGAAGCATGAAGACAGATTTGGCTCACACATATGTGAAAGCAAACTTACCTGCCCTTCAAATACCATCTCAAATTCTTCTCTGTTTTTGATTTTAGTGTAGAGATATTCTGCCAGCTCCAGGCATTTATTGATCTGATTTTCAAATCCTACTGTACCCTATTTTAATAAGAAAGTAGGTATTAGTTATATGGTCATTTTTTTTCCTGCTCTGATGCAATCACCTTTTCAGATAAGTTTCACTCTTAAATATTTTCAGGCAGAAAACATTTAGCAATATTATTTCTTGTAACTTAAAAGCAGCATTAACCAACGGTTAAAAAGTGGCTAAAGGTGGCCCAGTTTTAAGTCGCTATTTGGTTTGTCTCATTTTAAGAGAATTTATTATGAAAACAACAAGGACTTTTGCTATTTTTAGTAGATTATTTTAGGTCTTTTATATTTTTTGGGCTTCCAAAAACATTATAGATATTATGTCCTGGCTTCACAGCTGCTGCTGAAAGACCAGAAACTTAGAATGGGAATTCAGTTGAAAGTGTAAGAATTGGGAAGTAAAATATTTCCTCTGAACAGTTTGCTACAAATGTGAATTTAACCAGCAAGCAAAAGTCTGCCATACATTTACTATGTCACTTGCCTACCCGCTGATATCTTGTCAAGGTCATAATCCCAGAAAAAGTATATGAATATTGATAATAAATAGTTGGGGTTTTTTTAAAGTACACTTCGTACATAAATGAAGAATCAAGCATTTTCTCCCAAAGTGAAAATTGGTTTATGATTTTTATGATTTTGGAGTTTATAATTAGATTTAATATCAATTTTATTTTAAAAATTAGACTCTGGACAGGTTACCCAACTGAATTCCCATTTTGCCAGCAGAAGATCAAGAATAACAGGAATGAGATGACTGCAGATAAAGCAACAAATATGGAATGTGTTTTCTTGACTACATGAATCCTCATCTTGTGAACATGTAAGCCTGGACAAAAGCCCATGCTTAAATTCAGCCATCCAGGCATACCACAGTAGTACCAGAATAACTGTGGAATCGTCACTTGGGCAATGCTAGCTCAGAAAAAGGCCTTGTTTTGAGTTAAAAAGTCACTTATAAAATCTATACATTGAAATGTCATATTCAAAGGACCCTTGTAAGTCATCAAGGCTGCTCTGCTGTTACAAGTAATCTGTCATAAAATACTATCCAAGTGTAGAGCATCACAACAAGAGATCATTTTGGTGCCCTGCACTCTATGGTTTTTCTGCAGGACTCATCTAGTGACTTAAATCTTTCTTCTAATTGCCATCTGAATTTACCGACAGCTAGCATTGTTCTGCAATTCACACAGTACCTTTCTGAGTTAACACTTGGATATTTCTGTGTTTAGAGATTGCAATGACACAAACATGTATGTTAAAATGAAGTATTCCATTACATGACACTTAGAAATTAAATAAATACCTTTCTGTTTTTGAGCTAAACTTTTGTTATTTACCTTTGCTTTCCACATCAACCAGAATTTGAAAATGTCTACATGTCGACCACACTGTATTGCCTTATCTCCAGTGTCATAGGAGACATCATACTGCTTGTCTGGCTGGAAGAGATAGCCTGCACACATTTGATTGCAGCCCTGAAGGATACCCTACAACAAAAAGCATGTACACTTACATTACTTACCTGGCATTTGTGCATGAGAGAATGTACACATTAATAATGTATAAAAATGTATTTCAAACTTGTACAGGAGGATTGTTCTTTGATGGGACATATTATAACATACTGATCCTGTTTTGCAAACCTGAGCCACAAAATTAATTTCATTAACCTAAGGTGGTTCTCTTAGAAGTCTCTGAGTAGCCATATGGTCTTACACACAGAAACACCCCCCTGAGAAAACATTCACAGATTAATTTCGAGACTTAGTTTGTGATATTAGCTTTCACCACTTCAATTTATAAGGCTATGTTCTTTAAACTTAAATTTATGATTTGCTAAATTACACACTAGAATAAAGCTGTGGTCTCTCAATGCAACAGATTGCTACACAAAATGGAGTGAAAAAATGTAATTGAAGGTTTAAACTTTGAATGTTGTTCAGCTTTATGACACTTAACATTAGGGATAAGTATAAGCACAAATAACATAAACTGGACATTTTTTGCATATAAATAAATATGGTTCACAGACCAATAGAAATCTAGGGACTACTGGTAAAAATGCCTGGTGGAAACACCGAGCAGCACATTCCTTATGTTACACAGAAGTCTTATATGTGACATGTTTAAAATGGTTCGTATTTCCTTTAGAAATTCCTTAAAACTGCTTTTTGCAAGAAACTTGAAGACACCAGTGTGTCTCATAAATGCAAAAACATCTATCAAAGTTCTCATACAGAGAACAAAAACTCTTGCCAGAATCCTGCAATAGCTGGCACAATAAGCATGCACGTCACTAAACAAAGGCTTGTGCTTCCCTTCAATAGATGTGTTTTACAAAGGGAAACAAATGCTGCAGTCCTCAGTTTAGAGATGGATTGGAAAAGCAATGGCAGACCTAGGGCTGCAGCTTCCAATTCTTCCATCCCAGTTCTATACACAGGGATTACTGCTTCAACTAAGTGCTTCTAGTAGCAATTGCCATACAAGAGGTTAGTAGGCAACATCATTAGTCCTATCCACATGTGATACCACATATGATATGATTTTTTTAAATCATTTAATAAAAATATGTATTGCTTAAAAGAAACAAGACACAAGGTTTTTCTTTAATTGATGACAACTAAGAATCTAGATGCTAGCCCTAAGAGTCATAATAAGACCAGCATGTTTTCTTTCCAACAGAACTGGGAAACTTCTAAACCACTGTGTAAGGTAAAATCTTGCTTCTTACTTAAGCAGTTTAGACTGTGACCAAGTACTAAAGCAAAGGCTCTGTGTTCAATGTATCACAGAAACAAGGGGGCAGGTTGTCAGTACATTAGCATGGCTCTGTTGTTGCTATCAGAATATGCACAGATCCAACAGGTGAGGATCTGACCCACGTTGTCTACTACTTTAATTTAAAAAAGCCAAAACCCCTAGGACAGATAAAACAACTTCCAAAACACAGTGTAAATCCACACAATTATTCCTTCCAAAAGAAGTTTTGAAATTAAACCGATTTTGCAGTACCCTCTTAAAAAGTAGGGCTGGATATTTACTTTTTAAAAAAAATGTTTAATTATTAAATATAAGGCAGACCTTCTCCCGGACAAGAATGGCAGAACATTGTAACAACACTCCCATCATCTTGTGTGGATTCCAAGTGACTGAGTTGGCTCTGCAAAAAAATTACACATTCAGATAGGTTTGGAAAACAGAAACTTAATCTGAAGCAGTCACCTTTGTTTTCTGCTTTCAGCTGCAAATACAGGAAGTTTTGACCATGATGATATCACTGGGTATTATTGCTTTCTTAAGTGTCTTCTTTCCCAGCTATGCTGTCTGGGAAAGGAATTTTTTTCATGTTAACATTGCAATATCAGACTTGTGATTATTTTATATTATTACTAATATCAGCTAATAAGTATCAGACTAATTAGCTGATACAGTAACATCATCCCCAGATGAGTTCTCTTCTAGAAATAGCACTAATAAAAATAACAAAACCTCTTTGATATGTTCTATCGATTCAGGGTACTGATTGGGAAAGTGGGGGTGTCAGACAATTAAGGAACTAATATGAATTGTGGGAGAATACAGTTCTTTACTGAACAGCTGCTGGAAAAATAGAAAGGAAATAAAAAGATGTTCTGCATGCTTACCTGCTTTTCCAGTTAGAGCCACAGCCCTTGCTTGTCAAGCCTGTGGACTGTTAAAAGGCTCTAAAACCTTACATCTTATCCTACCATTCTCTATGGAAAGCTTAAAATTTCTTACATGTAAACACAAGTCAATGCACAAGATCACCTAATTTACAACTCAAACAGATGTTCTGTATTTTAACATACTATCCTAGACAGTTTAATGGTGACACTGAAATAAATGTGCCAACGGTGCACATCCATTGACCTTTCCACCCCAAGTAATTAATTACCAAGCGTCCCCTTGATTCACTGCATGTTCCAGAGAAGCAAAGTGCATAATTGTATTTCACAGGCTATGCATGTGTTTTTACAATGTGGTTGAAAGAAAATTGAAAGGTATTTCCTCCTCTCCAACATCCTGCTCTCAGAGGACACAGACACAGCCATTGTTTCTCTGTTTTGAGTAACACAGTGATGTCTCCACCCCAGTCTGAGGACCACTGATTTCCAGACACAATTTCAATCTCTGTATGTGCTAGATTAGACTGTAGCACCCCTCAGCTGAAGGAACAGTGCAGCCTGTGCTGTACCTGGGGAGCTCACCATTCGACATCAGCTGCTTATGCAGTGCAAACCAGCAGATAAATAGCTCAGACTTATCTTTTAGAAAAAGTTCACTAATAGTTCAGATGAAGCAGTCAGGAAAATGGAATTTATATAACAACTTGTTTCCTTTTGAAAACACCATGCCTTCAGTTTAGCACATTCATTTAACTTTCAGGGTTTCAAACAAAGACAATTTCAAGTGGTTCCTCACAAGGAGCATTAGGTTTATGTTAACACGAAGCTGTTGCTCTCTCCTCAGTGCAGCCCCCAGGCAGAGGCTGTCCCCCACAGGCAGTCCCAGCTCTGTGCCATGGCAGCATGCCAGCCCTCCATGCCAGTGTGCCCAAGCAGGCCAAGTACAACCTGTGTTATCAGGAGAGCCCAGCTGGGGCCCGTGACAGGCAATTACCCCGTGCATGTGGGCCCCATCCCCTGTCTGAAACCTGTATAGCTGACTGGGAAAGAAATCATTTCACGCTTCATAGCCTGCTGCTTTCTGTATTTACTTAAAATTATGGCCTTAATTAGCACCTTAGGGTTGACCTCAGGTCAAAAGGGGTGTGCCAAACTCCTGTGACCAAACCTCTGTATCTTAAGAAAATTATTTTGCAATGCTGACTTAATATTAGACATGTTGCTGTGACTCACAAGTAAATTGGGCTGGGCAAATGTTGACTGGATTCTGCTGCTTCAGGGTACTGCACACCATATGCTGCTGTCCTTGCAACAGAAAGGTCCCCATGGTTTTGCTGCCAGTCCTTCCATACACTATCCTTGATGTTGTACTTATTCTTCACTTACTGCATGAGATGCCCACATCTAGGACAGTTTGCTTTCCCTAAGGAAGAGCATTGCTCACTATACTCATTTTACTATTTTACACAGTGCCATATTCAGAATGGCCAACTCAGGGAGCAATTTGATGCTAATTTAAAAGTACATGGATAGAGCTTGCTTTCAATATTTTTTGTTTCTCTGAAGGCTGATAGCTGCAATGATGGAAAAGATCTAAAATTTGTGATTCTTCATTGCTTTTCAGATTTTTTTCAGATAGGCATCATTTTATGGTTGAGTGCTTTCAGAGAAAATCTGAGATCAACACACCCATGGGATTATAAATATAGCATCTTCTACAGACTTATTATTGGATATGGGTACAACTGTGCCAAAGACTATGCCTGGAATGACTCCTGAGTCAAAATTGTAAAAACCAGTGGGAGGGTCACATTCTCACTCTGCTGTCACTACCAATACAAATGCTTTGCCTCTTTAAGTTTGATTCAATCAAAGGCTGGCTTCTGGTCTCAGTGGGCATTTGGTAAACTGGGTTACCTACCTGGTGCTACACACATGCTCTTTTCTGCAGATTTCACTCTGACCTCAACAAGAGCTTCCTGCTTGTTTCATCTACTGCCCACATGGCACCAACACACAGGCCCCTGTGCCCTCAGACAGGTGACATCTTGTGACCCCTTCTGGCCTCCCTGTAAATGACCTCAGTCTTCTCCATGGTACAGCAGAAGTATAGCAGCTCTGTCTATCATAGTCCTTTCAAACCTTAAAGGTACTTAAACTTGCCCCTGAAAATTGCTGCTAATTCAGTCTCTACCTCCTCTCACTGTTGTACACACCTATCTATTTGTGTGTGTGTGTATAAATAAAAGTGATATAAGACTAAGCATATGTATGTGTTCCATTTACAGAACTCATGAACATACACTCTCTATTTTCCAGAAAACCTGCAAACATCTTTCAGGAGAGAACCTCTACAAATTCCCACTGTGGGTATTCATGCTCAAACACCTCCCCTGGATCCCTCACTTATCACTGGTATTCTCAAAGCCCTACATTTCAGAGATTGTCTAGCTCTCACACTTCATTTTTTTCTTCAAATACTTCTCCATCCATTCCCAGACTTAGGATCCCTCCAAAGCTATTCACAGAACAACCTCAGTTCCTTTTTGCCAAGTAATATCCTCGTCTTCTTTCAAATCTGCTGAAATCTTACCTCTCACTCAATGGAACATCACAGATTTCTTCTGTAGCATCGTTTCCATCACCCTAGTCTGAACCTTTTCCTTTTGCCTCACTATTGTTTAATTTAGTGTTTAAACTCCTCACTGTAGCAAAGGAACATTTTCATGAATTGCTGAAGTGCCATGTACCTTGTGAAAGTACTTTAAGAACAGAATTACAAAGAGGCCCTGGGTAGTACCTTTCTATTCCACTCAGTTTGTGACGGTGCTTTCGGGACATTAAGAGTCCACCCCCCCAGGCAGCCTGGAAGAGACAGGAAAATGAGAAGAGTCATTTTTTTTGAAAAGCTCAACAGATTTTAGTTTACTCAGAGTCTAGTAATAAATATTTTAATTCTTGTAACTTGTAAGAAAATTCTTGTAACTTGTAAGAAAAAAACCCATGTAAACTGAGATCCTCTTTTGCCCGACTAGCAGCACTTTTTTGTTACTTACATCAACATGGAGCCAGAGGTTGTATTTTTCACATATATCTGCAATCTCCTGTATTGGATCAAAGGCTCCATATACTGTTGTGCCTGCAGTCGCATTTACAAAAAGAGGAACGTATCCCTACCAAAAAAAAAAAAAAAGTCAACTATAAATTGAAAACACTTTCAGAGAGAGAAAGAAAAAACAAAAAAAAAAAAAAAAATTCCAGAAATATTATCTCATTTTGTAACCTAAAAATGTTTTATAAAGAATATTATTTTGTTCAATCTCTTTCAGTGAAGAGATTCAAACAATGTAATGGAAGATTAACAATATTCAAGTAAATTTGGGACTTCTACAGCAGTATAAACAAAAATTAATTAAATATTATTTGTAAGTCATTATTTCAAAGCTTGAAATTGTTCCTTTAGTCCTTATCTACTAATAAACAGAACAAAGCAGAACAAAGCAATCTAAAACAAAAGCAATAAATGAGAAACTATCAGATCAAAGAGAGACAATTTTGAATTAGATGAAATAAATGTGAACTGCTATTTCATAGAGTTCCCAAATGTAAAGAAGTTAAGAAATAAAAAAAAAAAAATCTTGATTTCTCTTTGGTTATGTTATTAAAAATCCATGGGTTTTTCCACTGCATTGATTCAAGAAATAGTAATTAATGCCAAAAATTTAATCTTATTGTCTATATTTAACAAATACACTTGCTACCTACATGAAATCTACAGGATTTTTTAAGGGCTCTGTAGAATCTTTTATGGGTTTGGCTAAGCTTAAAAGTTTAGATAAAAGATTTTGTGTTTCCATGCTTGTTTCCATATATTTCCAAACAGGAAGTTATTTTTAAAAATCATGAGCTACACAGTTGTGGTTCAAGAGTTAAAAAGTCTTTTGGTTTTAAACAGAAAATGGAAACCTCACCAAGACATACAGATAATTCTGTAAACAATACATGAATGTATAATTAAACATATAAAAATACTGTTATTGTATTTCTATCATTATGATGTTCTCTTTAATGTCCACACTCTGGCTTCAAAGGAAGAAGCAATTTTACTAAGCCAAGCATTTAAGCACCAGTTTTTTAACACACAAACCTTTTCTTTTGCTTCCAGAATTTTTGCCTCCAAATCAGCTGGTATTATTTTGCCTCTGTAATTATCACAGAAACAGAAAGGCAAAGAAAGTTAAAGAATGTATATGTAAATAATAGCTGCAGTTGAAATAATTTAATAGGATTTTCTCAACAGGCCATTAGCAACTTGACACACTGTACTAAATCAGTCCTTAAACACAATAAAACAAATTTAACACATGAACACATTTAATCTATCAAAACTTTAGCATTCATCCTACCTTTCATCGCATTTTATCAAAATAACATTGTCTGTTCCAAATCCAAGTGTAGCTCCAGCTTTCTTTATTGAGTAGTGACTCTGCAGCAAACAAAGGAACATGAAATGGAGGGGTTGTTTAATGGTGAAGCATTTTCACAACATATGTCACGTTATGGCATATGTTGTGAAAATGTAAACTTATGTAAATTAAGAATTAGCAGTGTATTAAGCTCACATGCTCTGAGGTAAAGAGAACCAGTTTAGGGACTGCAGCCATGCCTTTGGTTTTAACTTCAGGGAAATATTTGTAGCGTGCAGCCATTATGCTGTACATGTTGGAGATGGCTCCTCCTGTGAATGAACAAATAAATGAGTAATACAATAGTGATAGTGACAACAAAAAGTATATTATACCACAGACATTTGTGTCTCATTTGCATAATGCAGTGAAAGTGGCAGTGAGCTATGAAAAAACATTTCTCTGAAATGCACTGGCATCTGTCTGAATAGCACAGGACAGACTCTCGAGAAATCCAGAGTAACAATCAGAATTTCCTGAGTGCCATCTTTTCCAATTGCTATCATTTTGTAACACATTCCTAAAAAGTTCAGCTTCTATTGTGCTGCTTTTGTGTAAACTTCTTGTTAGCAAGAACAACAGGAACTTATTAACTTGTCTGAGATTGAAAAAATGTCATATATTGGATGGATTTATCCCATCTTACTGTAGATGTAGAAGTAGATGCTGAAAGGTAGATTTCTACAGCTGAGCTACTTCTTTCTAAACTCCCTCACAGTCATTTATGGGAAAGAGGCACGTCACAGGCTATGATTCACCTAATTTATTTTCACACTTAATTTTGTAGAATTTGAATACAGGGAAAGCACCTTTTTATCTTGGTTTGCTGCTAAAAGAGCCCTGAACAATTAGCTCAGTTCTTTGGTGCAGACCTCAAGCTTTAATAAGATCAATCTCACCCCTAAGCCTAAGATGACTTCTTCCTCTGAAATGTTGTCATTGATGAGAACACAGAAATATCTGTACGTTTCTAGCAGATAGGAATGGAGTGTGCACTTTACGTGGGCTGTTCCAAAATGAGGTGGTTTTGTCCTTTATGCTCTGTGACAGGATGGTGTTCCCTCATGCCAAACCCAGAAAAGTCCTGCTGGGCATCCACATTGTCCACGCATTGGCCCAGGACCTTCACATGTTCCATCACCAGTCATTTCTGTCACTGCCCACTGCCTTTATGTTCCTTGCATGGGAAGACACATTGTCCTGGTCTTTATACCACAGTCATACTTGTGAATGCAATCAGATTATATCCCAGAGAACGAGTCCCAGAAAGTGACAGACAACCACAAACTTTTTCTGACTGTGAGCCCAAATCCTCGTTGACCACCAAAGAAACCAGTACATGATTTTTTAGAACTTCTAGTCAAAAGGAGCTGTGGTTGCTCAGTGCCTCCAGAAATGAAGCTCATAAAAGGGGTGTCTAAATTCCTAACTGTGTACTGTGGTCAAGTTTTAAATGCCACAGTACATAGCCATACACAGAGATAATTTTTGACCCCAACTATTCTGTGGGATGTTTAAACAAAGCATTCCTACTTCTAAATTGCACATAGTGTGAGTATTCAGACACAGCCCATGTTTATTTTAACTTTCCAAGTTTTAGTCAAACAGAGAAGAAAAACTCACCAGGTGAGAATATTCCATCACCATCTTTGTTTGACCATCCAATAATCTCCCTCATCTTTCGAAGTGTTATTTGTTCCATGAGGACAAAGACAGGAGCAATTTCATAGGTAAACCTGCATGGATAAAGCAAAAATACCAAATAAGCACAATATAGACACAGATTCTAAAAACACACAATAAATTCCCAGACTGTGATCCTTTGTTAAAATGCTCGAGGTTTCTAAAAGTTTTCCTGTAACTTGAGGTCCTGATCCTGAAACTTTACCCAAACAAAAATCCTCAGGAAGACAATATTGGAAGTACTGATGAATAAAAACTGCAGCATTATATATTTTGCAGCTTTCTATATAGTGAATGTAAGACCTAATGTTCAACATCAGAGGGCTGCTGTCTTCTGTACAAGTTTGTCCTTTAAAACAACTGTTTCCCAAAGTGCCAATTCCACACTTGTGGAATAACATGCTGCTAAGTCCTTATGAAAACAGTGAACTTCATTGAGCTAAATAAAACCATAATTAGAAGTATTGAGCTAGGGTTTCAAAGTTTAAATATAATTAATTATGTGGATTTATTCTGTTGATGATCTCCAAGGACAACTTACTTCTACAATACAACGTGATCAATAACTGTCAAGAGTAATTACAAATGATGATTTTCTAATTACCAATTACCAAAACCAAGTCAGCAGTCAACTATTGTATCCACTTAATGAGGGCAAAAACCATTACATATCCTGGCATGCCCTGATGTCAGAGTCAGATATGTGGATGGAAATTGACAACCATACAACTATTTTGGTGATCAAGGTAGATGGACAAATTACTACTGCTGTAAACAAATTCTGCTTACTGTCTGTGGGGAAAAAAAGTAAGGGGGAAAAGGAAGCAGAGAGAAATGAAGAAATCAACCTCTGGTTTCCAAAGGAATCTGTAAGAGTATGACTCCCTGACGCTTTGGGTTTGACTGATATTCTCTGCTTGAATAATTTTGCCAAAACATCTGTATTGTCTCTCTAATACTAAAATGATATTTTGAGAACAGGTACAGCAAACTTGAATGAGACACGATATTAAGAAGAGAACAAGTGTCTGAAAAAGCTTGTCCTTTATTTACAACTATACTGGTTGCTTCCACTGTTAATATTTTCTTCAATTTTTATGTGTCTTTAGTCCATCAGAGAAACATGACCATTATTTCAAAAATATTCCCTTAATATTAAAGATTTCTAATTTGTTTAATTATTGTGATTGCTATTTTCAGAAGCCAAAATACTACTTATTTTGTTTTTATTATCATTAGAACTGGCAGAGACAGTTCAATACTGATCTGAAGTTTGGGCGCTGCTACTATTAACAAAAGGACAAAATTAGTAAACCAGTGTCTGCTAACAGTGGTTTGGGGTTGTTTTGTCTTTAAGCACTGCAAGTCTAGAATAGATCCCAATTTTTATTTAGGCAGAATGATCAACCAATGTCCACAGGAACTCAGCAGTCCATAGATCACTGTAGCTCAATACAAGGTACTCTTAAGTCAATGTGATTATTTTTTCCCCACCAGTTTAAACACATTTTGGGTTTTGTCCTGAGACCTTTCACACTGAATTTTGAATATCTTTAAACACAAAGAAAATACTATTTATTTATCCTATTCTGTAGTTATTTTCCAAGAACTGACAAGAAATAAATGATAGCAGATGTTTATAAATTGCAAGGCCAATGAAGCTATATTAGTTGATAGGTATGAATTTACAAATCATGTCTAGTTAAAGTTCCTTCCACCTTACTTGTTTTAAACTTAAATTATTTTGAAAAATTCTATAAAACCCAAAAATGTGTTTGGCTTACAAGGAACCATCAAACTCTAGAATCAATCTCCAAAAAAAAGCAGATTAGATTTTCCCATAGTTACAACATTTACAGGTATTTCTGTGAATTAGCTGTCACAGTCATGAGTATCAGCTCGTTACTACAGAATGTACTAACTGGTTTCTTGGGAGAAGCCAGTGCTGGCATAATTCTGCTCTCACATAAGGGACAAATCACTTTATCAGACCAAATTATTCTAGCTACCATTCTCTTGTTGGCCAGCATGTAAAAAGCAGTCTGAGAATAAACACAGAACATTTTACATCAATTTTCTATTCATAAGCATATTTGCACAATACTGAAAACACCAATGTATTCCCTTGTCTCAGCTAACAGTGGGCATAAACAGAACTTCCAGATAATTTTTATTTTTAACCTCAGTTGGCTGCTGCATGGTGACAGAATGCCTTGTGCTACAGAACTGGATGAATAATGAAATTCTGAAATTCCCATGCTGAGGGTCTCATGATTAGAGATTGAGCTATGAATAGCACATTGATACATTATTTCCAAGTCAATGGGGAAAGCTTATTATGTTTATTTTTATATATTATCTTCACAGTGACACTTAAGTAATATTTCCTAATGATAATTTAAAATTTTAAGGGAGTACAGATGTTTAGATTACTCAAAACTCATCTGCAAAAGAAAACACATACTTTTAATTGTTCATAAATATTTTAACTATTGTTTATCTGTAGAAAAGAAAAAATTACATTTGAAAAACACCCCTACCATAATTCAATGTTATGATTGCTTTTGTGTTATGTGCTCATGTAGCTGTAATAGGCTGGAACAGTTTCTAGGTAAAGGTCAAAACCTGTTCTGGTGTGCTGGAACACTACTCAAAACAAATACCGTGTTCCCCAGAGCTCACAGAGGTGATTGGGTTATTTTTAATAACCTTCTCTGTCAGTTCTTAGAATCATATTTTACAAACATCTTCCTTTAACCTTATTTGCAAGTACTGTGTTACTTTAAAGCACACCATGTTGACTTTGGTTTTCTGAAAAAAGGGCACACTGAGCCTCATGCTAACAAACAGATACTAAATGTTCATGTTCACAGAGAAGTATTTTCAAGATACATTCTTTTTTAAAGCACAAATGGTTGAGAAAGTAGCTATTTAACAGCTTATTTTCAAAAAAATAGAAAATATCAATTAAAAAGAGTTCTTTTTTAAGCAGTGACTAATTGAGTGCAATGTTATTAATAATGATGCCAGTACTTCTTTACCTGTCACAGTCTGCCATAGAGCTGAATTCTTTTATGTCTTATCAGATTTGTGTAATTTCACTGATTACAAAAGGATAACTAAACTGGGATAACTAAGTTAGTCAAATGGGCTTGGAAAAAGTGACACTGAAATATATACCAATTTCAGAGAAACGGAGAAACAACCTTTAAGCAAAGTTTTGTTTAGAAATGTGATCTGAACTGTTTTCACTTTTAATTGTGCTGCTAAAAAGGCACCTCAAAGCCCTTTAAAGATTTTACAATACCTGTTTAATAATTAAAACATATCTTGTTTTTGTGGATGTTTTGGTTTAGTGTTGTTTTTTGGGTTTTTTTTCGTTAATTGCACTCTGCTGAAAAAATTCATCATAATACCTTACACTGACATTTACCTTTCATTAACTCTGAGGTCAAGAAAAATTAGGAAAAGTTTCTTATTTGATGCATTCAGATGTCAAATTTTACTTTTTTTATATTTCCCTTTATTTATTTACACATGGTTTATTAACCTTAGACTAATTCCTTTATTTGCATAAAATTATTTTTCAGTGTTACATTTTTAATAATTTTGAAGCTACCCAGAAGCCAATTCTTTACCAGCACATGAACAAAAGGTATTGCCTCAAGCCTGCTATCTCTGAAGTCAATAGTAGAGAAGAAAATTAATTTTTTCCATATCTTGTGTTCTAGTGTTAACATGTGAACAGCTGCAGACCTGTTCAGTCTAGAGACAAAGTTTTTTTTCAAAAAAGAAAAATATAGAGAAGATTGGTCCAAAAAAGAAAAGTAATTTCAGGTTATTATATTAGAATAATCATGTTTTACTTACCATGTGCTCTCAGATATTTGCATTTCTATTTATAAGAAACATAAAACTGTTCAGTTTCATGTAATTATTTTCATTGTCTTACTGACACATTTAGAAAAACATGAGACATTTTTCTGGAAGATGTAACATTCATCATTTAAAAATGAAAATTATTCATATCTGTGACAATACCTATCTACCATGATACATGGCAGCCCGTGTAAGCACCAGTCCCAGACACTGGTGACAAGACACTGCTTACATGTTTGTGTTAGCAGTAGATGTCAGCCACTCCCCAGCCAAGCCAATAATGTCCAGTCCTGTGGACAGCTGATTGAAAAAGCGAGGGTGACCTGTAAAGAGAATTGAGAGCAACTTAGAACAAACTCTACCGGCATCTCTCAGGTTTCAAATTTAAACCACCCACCTTTTCTGATAAAAACCACAGAATACCTGCAGCAAAGTTTTCAAAGCAAGTCCTGCTTATGGGGAGACTGATAGCCAACATTCACGGGTGTCTTATTACAAACTTCAAAAATGCTTCAGATCTGAGCTCCTGCATGGAATCATTTGCCTTTAAAAGAGAACCTCAGAATCGACTGTGGCTGTAAACACCTCCGGGACCTGCCCAGGGGCTTGGGCTAGCCCATTTCCAGAGCCCTCTTCAGACCTCCGCCGTGCTGTGAGCTCGGGAGAGGAGTACACGGTGGGGACACCCCCTTGGCAGTAACAACCCCCAGGTACCGGGGCTACTTGCATTTGAATGGAGCAAGAGAGGAAGGCTCAGGCGCTTGAACTGGGGCTGCAGGAGTGAGACAGGGCTGCGGAGGAGCCAGTCTCTCCCCGAGTACAAGGACACGGGAGAGACGTTTTGCGGGGTCTGGGCAGCAATGTCCCAGCGCTGCAGAGGGGGGACAGGGCCCCGCAAGAGGCCCTCGCCTCGGGGCCTTTCCCCACATGGTCTATGAGCTGGAATTCACCTCCTTAAACAGAGTTCGCTATTGAACTGAAGTAAATCACATCCCTGTGTTACAGCAGAAGATGCTTTAACGACTTTGATAAGCAATAATCCCGAATCTCGGGGACCTACTTTTCTAGCATGAAGAGAGGAAATTCCTAACAACCGGTACCGGGCGCTGAGGGGACGTGGCGGGGGGGGCATGATTAAGACCTCTGCTCTCTGGAGAAGAACACGCAGATAGCACACTGGAGACAGCCCGGCCCTAGAAGAGAGGTCAGCTCTCGAAGCCTGGAGGGGACCCTGTCAGGTCGGATTCGGTTCAACACGAGGAACATCAGCATCTTTTGACATGAAGAAACAAATGCGATTCTGCCCCGAGCGATGTCAGCAGAAATCTTTCGGAGGCGTGAGCCTGCCGGCGCTGCCACATCGCGACACTTCCTGAAGAGGACACGCCGCAGCCGGGGGACTGCTCCCGCCCGAGGAACCCACGGCTCCGGGCTAGAGCCCAGAAATAGCACCGCGGCTTGCCTGTTTGCTTCACAAATCAGCGCTTCTCTCCCTTTCCAGGACACACTGACGGGCAAGTTATCTTCAGCGACATTTCGCTGACCTCCCACAGCTGTTAATGAGCCCGCGATCTCCTAAGGCTGGGCAGCAGATTCAGACTCGGTGACTTTGAAGGGAGCTTGAGAGAAAATGCGAGCCCCGGAAGCCCACAGCAGAATGCGTGTCCTGGGCACTCAGGCGATCCGAGCAGCACTTTAAAGCTGCACCAGACACCGCTTTGAGCAGAGCTTGTGTCCGGTCGGATAGCGTCCCTCAGGTCCTGGGGACACGTCCTGCTGGCCCACAGAAGCTCCAGGGGAGGTGGGGTGATGGGAGGAGGCTGCACGACTTGCGGCACAATAAATAGCAGAATAATGGTGCAAGAACACAGAGCGCAGCCACTCTGACTTAACCTCAGGCCACCTGTCCAACAACCCACGCGTTTGGGAGTGAAACACTCTCCCCTTTGATTAAGAGTACAAAAATCAAAGTATACCCCTGACTCCACTGAATCGATCAAACCATCATGTAAATAGGAAAAAGGACAGAATGTTACCCGCCACATCTGTTGTCAAGATTTTGCTCTTTGAATGCGCTGCATTGGGTCTTCACGGCTCCAAAACTAAGCACAGCAGAAAGCTGCGGCCCGTCCTTCAGGAGCCAGGCTCGCAGCTGCCCAGCCGGAGAGCGCCGGGAAACAGCCCCCGGCCCGAGCTCCCCGCCTGCTGCGGCCGAGCCGAGCCGAGCCGTGCCAAAGAGGGCAGCCGGCCAGGCAGAGCTCAGCAGCCCTGAAACGCAGGAGCAAGGCTGGGGACAGGAAACTCGGCGCGCTCCATTACCGCTCCAGCTCCTGACCTGCTTGGATACCTACGGCTGTCAGGGCTAGTTGCCAGCCAAGATTCCTTTGGATCCAATGCAAAACATTTTAGGCCAAACAGCCTGAGAGAGCATTGACTTTGCTCTAGAGCCTGGCTACAGCTCACCCAGTCAAATAAGTGATTACAATCCGGGATTTCTGTTTGAATCAGAAGGACCTGGACGGCCAGGGCTCCTGGGTAATAGGCTGAAATCCACAGGGTTCCTTTAATGATGATTCCTAGGATTTCAGTCTCTTTTTCATTAAACGTTTGATGAACATAAAGAAGAAAAATTGCAAATTCTGTGTCATTTATGCCCTCATTTACCTAATGATATTGCTCCCCAGAGATACAGACAGCTCGCGTTTCATCAAGTGAAAGAGATTACATCTTTAAAGCTTGTTTCTGTGGTCTAAAAACAGCACTGAGCCCGTCCTGGCAGGGACGGATGGTCATCAATAAATGAAGTTTCTGAGCAGAAACATTTCAAGCGCCTGCAGCCAGCCCTGGAGCCAAGCCTGTACGGAGGCACAGTCACGGGTGTAGAGAGGGTGTGGGCTTACCTCCGTGAGCTGTCAAGCCCTCTTCACTGTGAGCCTGAGAAAAGTCCCAGGAGGGACTCGCCACAGAGTAGCGTGCAAAAACCTACCTGTCCTCACTCCGTATTTCAGGGTGTCCCGACAATCCACCAGAATCTGCTCCAGGGACTCAGGGTTGTCCGAAAGCTCCAGGTTGAAGCCCTCCATGCCCTCCAGGAGCTGGTGTGGGTGGTGGAAGTCCAGCACTTTGGTGGATCTGTCAAAAGTCTTCCTCACGTAATTGAGGAGGATGTCCACAACCTCCAGCAGAAACTGCATGGTCTGCTCCTCACCATTCTTGGAGGGCAACAAATCTGTGGGGCAAACCAGCTGTTAGCACTTGCTTTGGGAGAGAGAAGCAGAGATGAACCAGCCTCGGCTGCCCACAGCGTTCCAAGAACCTGGAAGCCACGGTCCCAGCACTGCCTGGTTGCAGCCGGGCAGACCCCCGGTCCCTCTCACCCCGCGGAGAAGGGCAAGCCTAGGTCACCCACAGCAACAGCAGAGGTACCTCCAAGGTGCCTGGCCTAAGAGCACGCCCTGCCATGCAAAGGTTGTGTGGTGTGAGGCACTCACCTCCTGTGGGCCAAAAGCACCTGAAATCCACACCTGCCCTTACCTTGCAATATCCCCACCTCCGCCCCGCAAAGGGATTGCTTTCCCTTTCTCACTCTTCTTGCAACCCTACCAGCAACCATAGGCTGCTTCATTACTATTTTACTAAGGAGGATAAAAACATAGAATTACTCTCCTCCTGGATGCTGGATCTGGAGAAACCCCTGGAACCACTGAAGCTGAGCTGCAGGTGATCAGCACAAAGTACGTAAAACTGCTTCTCAGGCAGCTTGCATACATCACCAGCGCAGCTTCCAAAACACAGACACGGAGCTCCCTTCAAAAACAGCCAAGGAAAAGCACAGTCTGAACATGGCTGCACTTCCAGGGGAGATGAGGGCAGGACTACTAAAGGACATGCCTGAGCTGGAGCAAGGAGAAACTGTAAAGTGTTTACCTCTGGCATACAGATTGGAAAAGTCTGTCTCGGTGCGCCGGAACCTGGATTCCTTCTCACTGTTCTCGCATGCCAGCAGGCTCTTGGAGGACTGCTTTTCCTTCAGAGAGCTGACGATCCGGCCCTTGTCTTCCAGGCTGTTGGTCCTTTGCAGGAACCCTACATTATTATTGCAAGGTGCACAGGTCAGAGTTTTCTCACTTCCCAGCATGTTTAGAAAGATCTAAAGCAGCTCTCTAGACAACAGTTAAAAGCGGTGTTGGCTCTAGATCTGGCTAATGAGGTCAGGAATAAGGGTATTTATGGGGATTATTTGCCTCCAGGAGGGAGAGTTCAAAATGCCATCAACTGCAAAAACGCAGCCATGCAAAAAACAAAATTTCGTCATTTAGTGCACTGGTAAATTCTTATTAAGTCGATCAGACAGATTCCACTTCAGTAATCAGCCACTGGAAGAGAGTTCAGGATGAGTCAATGCTATTTCAGCCTGCAGGCGAAGTTTATGGACCTAGCAGACAGGGGCAATGATGTATGATTAAAATCAGGGCCATTTTCAGTTCTCCTCGTGGTGCTCTCACGCACAAAAGGCATGAGAACAAGCAGCCATTCTGGAGCATCCTTCCTGAGAGTGCTAGAGCTCTGAGGATACCAGTAGCACTCATATAACCCCACCTTCCTATTATCAGTAAGTACTGATGCGGATTTTCCACCTGAAAAGATGCTTTGATGCTAACAGTAACCATCCCCGGAGGTTTTAAGAGCTCTGCTCTCACCGGGAACGCATCTTTGGCACCCAGAACCCGAACACAACTGCTGCCGTTATATGTCATGGCAATAATAAACCCACTCACTCCAAGAATTGTTGGGGCGGAAGCCGCGCAGAGTTTGCAGCGAGTAATGAGATCTGTCTACTTTAACAAGGCGGGGAGAACAATTAATTTTCTGGATTTGATATATTAAATCTATGATGCCCACTAAAACACGCACAGTGTAGGGCTTTTTGTCATTAAGGACAGCGTCGGATTTTGACCTTCCGGGTTGCACCGAGTGCGCCTGTATGTTTGGAAGGGGCACTACGGTGACGCCAGTCTCCTTTATTCTTTTTCTTTTCTTTTAAAACAAGCAACAATCGAAAACAAAGCTCGTCGCGGCTGGGGATATCCGCCAGAGAGGAAGGCTTAGCAGGGAGGAACAACAACGTCCTGAGTTTGCTCACTCGCGTTCCCCCACGCCGCTTCTCTTCAGCGCCCTCCGCTTTCGGGCCATGAGTCCCTGCTCTCCGGAGCCGTGACGGCGGCCCGGGACTGTGGGCACCTCCCATCAGGCCCCCACCGCCGGCCCGTACTGGACCCCTGCATCTCGGGCAGTCTTCGGGGCTGAACGTCGGGGGAGAAAAGCGAGCGACAGTGAGCCGCTGGGCCAACTGCTCCTGGCGCGGTACCTGCGCCTCGGACCCTGCCGCCAGGCAGGCAGTCACGAAAGAGCTCTCGAAAAAGGAGCACTCGGCTGGCAGGCCCCTCTGTATCAGTCGGGTACCCAGACGAGTCTCCAGGAGGGTCGCTCACAGGTAAGTTTGCAGGAGCCATACTTCCAGCGAACACCTCACGTTTTGCCTTTTAATTCTGATCTTCTACTGATTAGTCTTTTTCTGTGATGCTTTTATGAATGAGACATAGACTATTTAAGGGAAACTTTGTGCATAAGTTCAGAGTAGCCGTCCGTATACCTGTGTGTATATATATATATATAGTAGTATTTAGTTATGTTACTGCTTCTAATGGCTCTTACCGCGATCATTAGCTCCTGCAACCGCTAGTGCTATTTTCCTGCTCATTAGGAGAAGCAGCTGATATCAAAGCAGGCGCAGTCTAATACGAATTACGAATCCTCTTTTACCGGGTTCTGGGGCTTGATTTTGCTTTGTTTTCCCCGCACCCGTCTTTTTTTCAGGCTCTCAGTAGGATGCTCAGGTGGGACGGGTTCCGTGAGAAGAGACGCCGGCAGGAGCAGCCGCGTTCCGCTTGCCCCGAGAGCCAGGCTCTCCGCACAACTAGCGCTGGGGAAGGAGGGAGCGCCGCTTCAGCAACAG